AATAAATGGCTTTTTAGCTTTCCCCTTAAGCACAGTCTATGTTCTCCCTGCCTGTATGAGTTTGGATTATGTTTATGGCAAATCACCTGCCCCAACTTTATTACCATATATATATATTTTAACCAAATAAAAAAAGGCAAACCCAGCAAGCAAAATAGCCTCGCCCCTACTAAGCAAATTCACCTTTGGACAAGTCAAAGGCATTTCTCCTTTTCTCAAACACTTGTTGTCTTCTCCAAATGCTAATCACTCCTCATGGTTTGAACCATCCGGCCTGCTGTACATCTGAGGACAGTTTGCTGCAAATTTATTCAAGTTTCCCTTGATATGGCTAGGGGTAATAGCTGTGTGTGACTTGCTAGCAGATGTATCCCTATGGTAGCGTAGCAGAGTATCTGCAGAGGATGCCGTCCTCAATACACCTCACGGTTTTGCTTCCCTGCTCCCTACATTCAATAGTTTGGGTTCAYGTGTGGTCTGCAGCAAGGTTTGCTGCAGCTCCACACTGCTCAGCGACTGCGAATTAGAACCYGCAGTTCTCGGCCGCTGGCTGGACGTGCTGCAGCTGCAGTTCCTGGCTGCTTTCGTGCGAGCAGTGAGTCGGCCTCGCAAATGGCAGCTCAGAGACCTGCCTGCTGCGGGCTGCAGGGCACAGGATTCAAAGYTGTTGTTATTAGAAAGACAAACTCTGTATCTGAACCAGGTAACTGGTGCTTGGCTTGAGTATAGTTACAAATTGCAAAAACACACTGTTTTCAGAAATTAGCTTTCCTGTCCTTTCATTCAGTAAAAAGACAGACATTGCTTAATGACTTTCTTTGAAGTGATRCCCTGTTTTAATAAAAAGATAGTTGAGACCATAAATATCAAATAAAGATGGAGCAAACATATATGCAAGCTATCCTTAGATCACAGCACTAAGCAAGGTACAGATAACCCATCCACTCCATCAGAGCTTGCACAGAAGGGAAGTTTTGCCCTTTACCAAGATAACCATATTTCAAAGGAAATGACATGCTGCTTCGCAGGGAATTATGATTCATTTGGCTGAGCTAACAATGTGCTTTGCATAGCTTCCTGTCTCCCATCTTTCAATTCATTCATATACATTATTTATAAAGAGAGGCAAACACTTTCCTCCATGGTTTAATCTATCATGATGTTCTCTTGAAAGAAATCCTATACATATTCCATACATGCTATACAGTGCCATAGTTAACAAAATGCCTGCCCTATCAGTGAGCCATTCACTTGGCCAGTAGTCTTTGCATGTGTTTGCTCTTTATGTCAGTAATGAAGCAACGACAAGTGGCAATAATAACTACTACTCCATCCGAGTGCAAGGACAAATAGGTATGACAAAAATAATCAGTCTGCATTATACTAGCCCTACATGGATCTACTACTGTCAAAAAGAATTGGGACTCAGTGTGTATTAAGTAATATTAGACTCAATTTTCACTTCCTTCTCTTCATCATTTTGCTATTTCAAATGCTGCCAAAAATGATCCTTAGATTGAGACTCATCTACTTCCCCTTTTCTTAATCCTGTCTGATAAAATCTGGTCATAATATCAGCAGGCAACAGCAGAATGACACTAATAGGTATTTTTAAGTTCAGGTAGCTGGATCTCAGCCAYGACCAGATTGTAAGACCTGTTATTTAATCTCCAATGTGCAAAGTGCAGGTGACAAACATTTTCATAAAAACCTAACCTCTAATAGCACAATCAAAACAGGCAGCCTGCCGTATGAATATGCAGGAAGGAAACGTTAACCACCTTCAGAGCAGGAAAATGCTTAAATCAAGTTCTGCTCTGGTTGATTTAGTCCATGTATCTATACAGATTTATATTAGAAACCACTTGAGATTAATCTGTTGCTGGGAGAYGAGACACTGATAAATCCATGTACCTTGTCATTTCATGGATTGTTAATTAAGGACAAACCTGTAAGAATTCCTCTCCTCAATGGCTGTGTTTTCAGCAGGTTTCTTTTCCAAAAGGATGCCGATAAAGTAATAAAGCAACTTCTCGCTGCGTACACTGGAACAGTAGGAAAGAGCTAATGATTCCTAGCTCCAGGGACTGTGGAGTACCACCAGACCACTGCTGGTTCAGTGTGCACAGTTTTATAATAGATGAACAGTTCTTAAATTTTAGAGAAGAACGATCGTGTAACTATGGTTCACTGTTTAAACACGCTCAAAGACTGCAACCTTTGGGCTCTGTGACCAATCGATGCATTACTCATAGTCGTTCCACCCACAGGCTTGGCACTGAACGTTACACCTTCATAAATATCATTTGCTTTTTATCGAGTTGATAAAAGCCAGAATGTATTTGTACAGAGCTTTTGTTTATTTTTCATAGCACAAGGCTGCTTCTTCCTCTTCCTTAAGTGTTGTGCTTCATCTCACGGAGGAAGAAAGAAGGCTTAGTGACAAAAACTGGCTTCACAGAAGACTGCAAATACCATTGCTAAGGGCTTAATACGGGAAACCGCAGCACAAATGGGCCTCCACCACACCAAAGACTCCAGAGTCAAACAAGGCAATATATTAATATTAGGACTTGATTTTGCGGGAAAATCTACGTTATGGTACAGGTTAAAGTGCAATGATCATTTTCTAACAATTCCGACAATTGGCTTTAACGTTGACATGATTGAAACGCAGAAAGATTTTACCTTAACCTTTTGGGATGTTGGAGGACAACAAAAAATGAGGCAGCTTTGGGGCAGTTTCCTGGAAAATACAGATGGGCTTCTGTACGTTGTGGATAGCTCTGATCAGCAACGGCTGGAAGAATCGAAGAAAGAACTTGAACGCGTTTTAAAGAATGAATTTATAAAAAATGTACCAGTAGTTCTGCTAGCAAACAAACAGGATTTGCCTGGGGCTTTGAATGCTGAGGAAGTAACCAGGAGATTCAACATGAAGAAGTACTGCAGTGACAGAAATTGGTATGTACAACCCTGCTGTGCCATCACGGGAGAAGGCTTGTCAGAAGCTCTCAAAAGAATAACTGCATTTGCAAAAATCCACAGGAAATCAAAGGATACTTCTACAATTTTTAAGCAAAATGAAAAACTTTAAGAATTTCTATCAAATTCTGCTGAATGCTAATTAACATATGTTGTTGCACAGACTAAATATGAACATTCTTGGAGAAACTCTAAATAAATATTTATAAAGCACTTTTAAATTATATTGTTCTACCTACATATGCTTCTGATATACTATTCTGTAGTACTTTAATTATCAACAGCATGTGTGGGGTTATTCAACGCAAGAATGTGGCAGCTGGATAGTAAAAAAGACAGAACTGAGCTTCTGAACTTCAGCAAGTGGAAACAAAATAGGTGAGCAGTGCTTAAAATGCTTAAGTGTCTTATCAAAAAGCTCAACAGCCAAGAAAAGGGGTTAATTCAGCAAGAAAAGCAAGGGATAAAATRTCATTTCAATGTTATTGTGCTCTGTGGATGTATTTCTCATGTAAATAGTTGTTTTTGAGCTTGAACTTTTAGCTATGTACCAGTGAACCTATGAATTTGAAATACTTGTTTCAAATGTATGGCAAGTGCAAATGTACTGCGTTTTAGAACCTATTTCTCCATATCAACTTTCACAATCAGGATGAAGTCTTCACCAAGACACAGAATAAAACCAATAGTTCATGTGTTATTTGTAAGGTGCAGCTTTGGTGTCACTTTGTTAAAGGTGCCCATGTGTCCCCAGAGCCATGTGCTGTCACTAGCCACCAGCAGTGCAACAGAAGCCAGCACAAGAGCAGCCCAGCAAAGYGGGAAAAGCAGGGACGCAGGCTGCTCCCTAAGTTTTTTATTGATCTTGAGAGAATGTGTCCTGCCATTACTAAAGCCACCCGAGATTGCTAGTGGTAAATTTTGTTCTGGTTAATTTCAAAGTAAAAAGTAATCTTATTACTGCAGTTTGTGGAAATTTCTCCAAATTAACCTTTCCATTCGGATTTCCTGATTCATTAAGTGGTAAATTCGTATTCTCAATGCCATTAAGGCAACRATAGATTGGTAACTAGAACAAGCTSAATTAAACTGTATCAACCATCAAAAGTAGTTTAAATGCTAAAAAGTTAAAAGAACCTGCTCTTGTAAAAGTGAGGAAAAAGATACCACCTAATTACTGGCTAAACACTCCCTTTTGCTAATCCAGGCTATTTATTTTTGCCTTCTTGAGCAAGCTGTGCAGAGGGGGGATGACACAGTGGTTAGGATGATTGCTTAGGTAGCTGTACTTTTTTTTTTTTTTTTCTCTAAATGCACCACAATCTTTGACCACGGGCTAGTCATTTAATCGCCCGGTGCCTCAATAGGTCCCTGCCAAAATGAGCTTCCCACTTATGCTGCCCAAAAAGTTGTGGCACAGGTCAGCRTGCGTGTGTGCCTTTCTCCTGCGACAAACGATAATGTGCCCAGTAATTCACATGAGACGTTTACAGGTAGTTCTTACTAATAAAAAGCAAGAATTTCAAGTTTTAGAAGGGTGAAGCAGAAGGCAGAACAGATATGCTCTGTTGTTTCATGCATGTATTATTCAAAGATGAAAAGTCATCAGGTGCATTTGCTG